TGGGAGGCTTCTTGGAGGAGCCTGAAGGAGAGGCGGTAGGGGCAGCTGGAGCCGGGAGGTCCCTGTCAGGTGGGCATTGCTGCCCATCCCTCCACCTACACCCGGACACAGCTGCCCTGCAGGGCCTTCCAGAGAGCACCAAAGATCAGTGAGAGCGGCCTTGTCAGGCAGAACTTCCCAGGCCTGTAGATCACGCTGATCTGGAAAGTTTGGCTCTGGTAACTTCCCTCCACGAGCTGGCCCAGCTCTCAGCTCCTGGGGCTGCAGCACAGCCCACCCAGGCCTGGCCACCCTCTGGGGCCAGAGCCAGAGGCCCTGAAGCTCTCTTGCCCTGGCATACCTTCCTCCCCATGACCTTGCCTTTAACCCAGTTCGGTTTAGGTGTCCCCTCCTGCAGGAACCCTTTTCTGAGCCCCATGGGATGGGCTAGGACCTCAGAGAATCTAAACCTGTGCTGACCAAAAGAAATATGTGAGCCCCGCATGTGAGCCACATTATGTGATTTTATTTTTTTTTTTTATTTTTTTTTTTTTTTATACACAACGTATTTATTTATTTATTTATTTATGGCTGTGTTGGGTCTTCGTTTCTGTGCGAGGTCTTTCTCTAGTTGTGGCAAGTGGGGGTCACTCTTCATCGCGGTGCGCAGGCCTCTCACTATCGCGGCCTCTGTTGTTGCGGAGCACAGGCTCCAGACGCGCAGGCTCAGTAATTGTGGCTCACGGGCCCAGTTGCTCCATGGCATGTGGGATCTTCCCAGACCAGGGCCCGAACCTGTGTCCCCTGCATTGGCAGGCAGATTCTCAACCACTGCGCCACCAGGGAAGCCCCATTATGTGATTTTAAATTTTCTGGTAGCCACGTGAAAAAAAAAGAGCCAAAAGAAACAGATAAAATTATTCTAATGATATATTTTATTAAACCTAATACATCCAAAATATTATAATTGCAATACAAAAGTTATTAAGGAGAGATAGTACATTTATTTTATTAAATCTTCAAAATCTAGGGACTTCCCTGGTGGTCCAGTGGTTAAGACTCCGAGGAGTACGGGTTCAATATCTGGTAAGGGAGCTAGGATCCCGCATGATGCTGCGCAGCGCGGCCTAAAAAAAATAAATAATAATAATAAATAAATCTTTAAAATCTAGTGTGAATTTTACACTTACAGCACATCTCAACGTGCACGAGCCACATTTCAAGTGCTCAGAAGCCATATGTGAGTAGTGGCTATCTGATGGGTCAGCAGAGCCTTAGAGGCAGGGAGAAAAGCATAAGGGTTGAAGCTCAGTGCTTGGCATCAGGCAGATCTGGCAGTCACATCCTGGCCCTGCCATTTATTAGCTGGGTGAACTTTGGGAAGTTGTTAATCCCGAGCCTCAGTGACTCCAGCCATGAAAGGAGTTAATAATTTCAATGCCAGAGAATTGTTCTAAGGATTAAATAAATGTGTGACTGGGGCCAGGCACAGAGCTAGTACTCAGAAAGTGGCGGTGATTCATCTTACAGTACCCTCTGATGTGCGGGTTTGTGTGCCTTTCTCCGCCACTGGACTGACAGCGAATTCAAGGACAGAGGCTACCCAATTCCTCTTGCCTTCCCCAGGCTCAGTGTGCACATCACTGATTGCTGAATGAAAGAGTAAATCCTTGCACTATGAGTGCTTGTCACCCCACCCTGCCGACCCAGGAATCAAGGGGCCCCTGGTGTCCGGAAGTCATGAGACCACTGACTACCTGGGGTGACCTTGGCGAGGTGCTGCTTTGCTCTGGGCCTTGGTTTCCTCATCTGAAAGATAAAAGGGGAGGGGTGGGAGGGGCCTGCCGGAGTATTTTGTTTGGCCTCTGCCCCACCAGTGGCCTTGGGGGACTGTAGCGGACACCATGTGTTTTGCCTTCCCAGCCAAGGGAGAGCATCACTTCCATCCTATTCCTGGCTTTCCTGTATCCTAGCACTTTTGCACCATCAAGTACCCTCCAGTTAAAATTTAAGAAGAAAGACTTTCTCCTGCTTCCCAGGCAGACCCGAGAGGGGATGAGGGGTCCTGTCCTTTCTCTTCTGCCAGCATCTGCTAACCCATCACAGCAACTCAGCGACAGAAGCAGGGCAGGAAGAATCTCTCCCAATTTATAGGTGAGAAAACTGAAGCTCAGAGAGGTCAAATCATCTACCCAAGTAACACAGAAAGAAGTGGCAGAGCCAGGGCTGGAAGCCGAATTCAGAAGAGCCCCTCTTTACAGGGGGTGGGGTGGAGGCTGCACCTGGGGCCCTAGCATTTCTCCATGGGGGCTTTCACAAGATGTGGTTCTGGGTTGGTCCTGTGCCTCAGTTTCCCTGCCCTGGGAATGAAGGCAGCCAAGTAACTGGGGAAGTGATTTCAATTGATGCCTACAGGGGGCCGTGTGTTCTTCAGAGAGTTCCTTCACCCCCCTTCCCCACCACAATCAGATTTCTCTGGAAAAGGTTATTGTGGGGCGAAGTGGAAGATGTCTGGTCCAGAGAGTCAGTGTTACTGTGCAAGTGTGACCTTGGACAAGTCACTCACCGCTCTGGACCTCAGACCGCCTGTTTATAAAATGGGAGGGGGGGTGACAAGATGTGAGGATGGAGCATGAAAGTACTTTGCAAACTAGAAAGTGCTAATAGAAATGTTAGCCAATAATAATAATAGAAAGAGAAATAATGATAACAGTAGAAGCCCAGTTTTCTGTGTGGTCCCACTGACCTGGAGGGAATTGGGCCCTTCGGGTATAAAAACAGAAGAATGTTCTGCCTTGGTTTTTGGAATGTTGCCTGGATTCTTCTGGGAAAGTGAGAGGCTCCATCTAGCTGAGGAGGGTGGGAAAGTGGTCCTGCCCCAGGGGAGGGAGGGGAAGGCTCCTGCCTGGGGAAAGAAAGGAAGGGGAGGGGGTTTGAGGGAAGGAGAGTTGAACTAGGAGGAATGGAGGGCTCTGGCTGGCAGCTCTGTCCTGCCCACAGGAACCCAGTGTTGGGAAAGGCGGCAAGCAGAGGAGGCTAAGAATCAATTTGGAATAAAAATACTTGAAGCAGGCAGTCAGAAATCTCTTAGCAGATGTGTGTATGAAACAATAAGTTCATCTGGTGTAACTCCTAAGTTTTACTGGTCCTTTCACTCATTCATCTGAATAAATGTGTGGTGAATTGAATTCAAGCAGAGCACCCCAGAGTGGCAAAGTGACTTGCCCAAGGCCTTACTCCTGAGGGCCTGGGGAGTTCCTGGGAAGAACTGAATTTTGGAAGCTGGGGAACGAAAAGTCCAAAGGCAAAGGAGAACATCTACAGGGAAGTCCGCCCAGCAGGACTCTGGTCCTTCTGGGAATTGGCCCTGTGCTGGTTTGTCCATCTTCCTGTCTCCTGTCTGGAGGGAGGGCATGTTCTCTAGGACTGGGAGGATCTGGTTTCCTGCGGCTCTCTGCTCTCTGACCACCCCTGAGCCTAGTGGGCAGCAGAGAGAGTGAAGGCACCGGAAGCTGTGTCTTGGGAACATCTGGTGAAGGAGTGCGTGACGTTTAACTTGGAGAAGAGAAGGCTTGATTTGGGGGTGGGGAGAAGGGACATGGTTGCTATCTTGGGTTCTCTGAGGGGGGCTGGGGAGAGGGCATAGCCTCTTTCTGTGGAGGCCCTAGGGTTGGTACTAGGATCTGGGGTGGAAGGTCACTGTGATGGAGCATCCACCTTGGGAGAGAGGAGTGGAGGGAGGGGGCTGCCTGTTGCTGGAGTGTGGGAGTTCAGATGGATACCGGTGAGGCTGACACTGAAGGAGATGCAGCCTGCCATGGGGAGGGGGCGGTGGCGTCCCAGCTTTGGGCCTCTGTAATTTCCAGTGTGGTGGATTCTGCAGTGCCTAGAACAGTGGCTGGCACATAGTAGGTCCTCAGGAATGATTTGAAGAATGAAAGAATAGATGTGTATGCCTGGGATGGTGGCGGTGCTGGCTAGGGAGTAGGGGTCATGTGGCCTGCAAATGCGGACCCATGGGCAGAAATCTTTGGGGATCATGTTGTGGGTTACACAACCATCTCTCAGGACTCCCCCACAAACTGGGAACCCTAGAGATAGGTACATCCACCCTTTTTTTCACTGTTGGCAAAGTGAGGCCCAGAGCAGGAGAGCAGTGTGCCCAAAGGTACTGGTTGACCCATGACACAGCGGGACTAGAACCCAGGCCGTTGGAGGTCCTCGCTGTGGATCTCCTAAGTTGGTCTGGAGGGCTTTGTGAGACAGCGCTGCTGGAGGGGAGGAGCAGGGCTTCACTTGGTTTTGAGCCAGGACCTCAGTGCCACAGGCCAGCTGGCCACCCCCCAACCCCACCTTCCTGGAGCCTGGATGCACATCCAGAAACATCTGTACACCGGCCCACTCCCCACTGTTAGTTACACTTATGGCCATTGTCACTGAAGCACATATGAACAAATGCACACATACACACACGGGGTCCCAGGAGACATTTGCATGACCTCCTCCCCGGTGGGGGAGGAGCGCTGAGTCCCAGGGAAGTTCTGACCCGCGCTCTGAGCTGCAGGGGAGGTGAGGGTATTCGGCTGGGCTCGGTGGGCTGAGGCTGAGTCACCCCTTCTGAGTCAGGGATCCTCTCCTCTTCCTCTCCCCTCCGCCCCCC